AGAAATGGTAACCACTCAAATTTGCCGACATCGAATTTCCGACGGAATTCCGACGGAATAAGCTCCGTCGGTATGCGCTGCCCAATCAAACTTTGCCGACATCGGAAAAATCGGATTTCCGTCGGGATGCCGTTGGAAAGTCGTCAGAATATTACGACAGTTTATTTCCGTTGGAAATCCGTCGGAAATAACCGACGGATTTTCGACGGTTTACTTTTGGTCGCAATTCCGTCGGAAATCCGTCGGAAATAACCGACGGATTTCCGACAGTTTACTTTTGGTCGCAATTCCGTCGGAAATCCGTCGGAAATTTCCGACGGAAATCTCGGCCGTCGGAAATGTTGCTGTTTTCTTGTAGTGTATATAGGCAAGATAGTAATCTTTTTACTGCCTTTGTTGGGATGTATGATGAGAAAGAAGATTATTTTTCATCATTGGGAATCCTCAGAAGCATATCTTTGTTGATTTTGGTCTACAAGACGTTTTATATATTACCGGTCTTCCAATTGACGGAGAATAGGTATATATCTTTTCTTTTACTTTCAACATGTCTTTAGTTTTACTTATTGGATTTCTAATTCCCAATTTGAATACAGGTTTCAGGATTTGAGAGTGAAAACGCCAAGGATACAATCATGCAGAATTTTAAAATAAATGAAGAGAAGGCTGAGTCATTAATGAGGAACTCTGGTATTGAGCTCTCAAGATTGAAGTCTGAATTTGAGATGGTACTAGAAGATCGAGCTGCGAGAGGATAGTGAGTTAGAACCTTATTTCAAGGCTTATCTCCTGTTTCTGTTGGGAGTCGTGATTCTCCCAAACAACAGCAGCTCTTATTCTCCCATGTACCTACCACTTTTAGGATTGAAGGACGTCAACAGCTATGCTTGGGGAGCAGTTATGTTGGCAAATATGAAAGAGTCAATGGAAAAGGTGAAGAAAAATGATAAAATCACAAGCTTATGCGGTTTTTTTTTACGCTCTCACGGTAAGGTCTTTAAATGAAAACAAAAGGTAAATACTATGATTCATAATATATGAATGATGTACATTGACAATTATTGTTCTTTATCTTTTTTCTTGTAGGTATTTGCATTAGAGCGTTTTCCATGCCTTAGAGAAAGACGTGCAACATCACCTCTATATTCTCTACCATCCGAATTTCCCTTGATTTTGGGTCGGATGTAGGCGTTGTGTAAACCGAATAAAGACACGAAGAATGTAAAATACAGAAAGAAGCTTCAAGACATGGAAGAAAAAGACGTAAGACCTTAAACTGTTCGTTCCGATTTTTAATACATATAAATTGCATATATATTGTTTCGTTTTTAACTAAATACTTGACCATATAAAATTGCATATATATTTGTTTTTGAATTTATCCCACCGGAGGTATCCTCCCCCAAATCGCTCTTCAAACTTCCCTAT